TGAAAGTTTTGGTTCTTGTTTTGGAATAGCCATGGATAACTTATGGATAGTTAGAAATACTGTTTGGAAAGTCGAAAGAATGCAAAGTATGAAAATATAGTGTTTAAAGCATTATCTTTCAGATGAATATTTTGACTTGTTCTATCAAAATATTCTTCTTTAAAATGTACAGAGCACCATTTCACTTATCAGTTGTCTCTCCGAACATTTACAATTTATTTTTTAATCAGTTCGGTTTTTCATGAAAAGCTGTACGAAATTTGAAAACGCGCGAAATTGGAATGAGTTGGCAACTACCATATCATAATAAAACTAAAAGAAAACTCCCGAGCTTAGAAACAAAAGTTCTCAAATCTCAGTTAAGTTATAAGTAACTTTACATACTGTTAGTGTTATGGTATTAGTCTATTACTGTATCTAACAATATAATATGTTGACAGTATAATATCAGTTCATATTGATGTATTTATGGGAATAAATACAAAAAAAAAAACAAACAAAAAAAACCATGAAATGGTCAGTGAAATTACACGCGACTAGGTAGTTTATTGTTACAATTCCATGCAACACACATTGACATTTTTAATTTATATACCAACTGAAAGTACGATGGACCAACAAAATGTTAACATCCGGTGACTTCACGTGAAAGGTTTAATGCTCAATCCAGTTTAGTATAGAGATCATTGCACTAGATACAAGAAACATGGTGTAAATGACTCATATGCATTCTTCTTTATATTTACCCTTATGTTTTAAAATTATGCTTTATGACAATCGCATATTATTATCCGTATTATTACGACTATACACCAGATGGCAGGGCATATCAGGAAAACGGAATTGAAATGTAGCTCATTTTTTAGAATATGTTATGTTGTGGTTTGTATTGAGTTTCGTAGAAGTTATATTTATTTTTATTCTTTTTGTTAAAATAATCAGAAAGTGATACAAGTACGTTTGCATTAAAAGTTAAGGTCGACATAAGCTACACTATTCCTTATAATATTAGCAGTAGTAGTTGTAGTACTACAGAAGTATTTAGAACAGTTACCGACTTAGAATAGAACTTCGACTTTAGTCTTTAGAGTTAGAAGCAGTAGTGGTAGTATTACTAGTGCTGAGTAGTAGTAGCTCAAAACGTAAGTTTAATATTTATAATATTAATAGTATTAGTAATAGTATACAACGTTAAATTCATAATAAAAATAACTTTGTAACAATTTATGTGGGATTAAAAAAAAACAACTAACACTACTAGTAGGCTGTAGCACATACTAGTCAGTCTCGTGTCATTTTGACGTGGCCAGTTGGAAACGTCGCTGCAGCTGATAAGGTAAATAATGTGTTGCGATATGGTACTGGTAGGTAATTAGTTACTGTAATTTATAAATAATAGTACACTAGTGGAGTATGTCTAGCACTGTAGCTGAGCTACTATTCCAGAGGTAATACATTAACATTGTGTTGGTTAAGTCTTAAGGGCTTCCTTGATCTAGTTTAAGACATATCTGTTTAATTTTACAATCTGATTCGAAAAACATCTCATCAGGCAAGATTTGAACATGTAGATCTGCAAATTGAATAGATACTTTAGTCACTTAAGTTACTGTGGCTGTGGGTCAGTTATGGGCTATTAGTAGTAGTAGTACTAGTACTACTAGAAGTAGCAGTGGTACTAGTATTAGTAAGTTACAACTTACAGTGTTTGGGATGCAAATTCTAGCTATTTCAGTTGGCGTATAAAGGTTATGCTTAGAAAAAACTGTTCTTTAACTAAATTTTAAGTAACTTAAATGTATACAACCAAGGTTTCATACTATATTGAGTTTTGTGTTTGTCAACAGAAGGCATTTCCCTATCTAGTTTCTGTATGAAATAGCCCATGACTGTATGCATAATAGTTTTTCCCTTAATTACCAAAGTTGCCTAAGTCAATTATGTTTCATTGGGCCAGACGTGAGCTAGTGATTAGAGTGCCCAAATGTTGAATCCTACCTGTGCTAATCAGCTTGTAAGGCTTAAAATCCACACTTAGTTTATTACCATCACTTAAAGTAATGAGTGATATAAACTTTTGAGTTCTTGAAAGGTAGTATGTGCATTGCATAATGAAAGAAAAGTGAACAATAGGCCTAAAATTTGTGAAAAAAATCAATATTAACTGCATAAAGTGTTTTCCACATTCTTCTTACTTTGTCCTTTGCAGATTCAAATTCAAAATGAGAGGTATGTAAAAACATCTGTAGTTAATGTGATTTTTATCACAAGTTTTAGGCCTATTGGTTTCTAATGCTTCACTAGTTTTGGCATTTAAACTGTAATGTTTAAAAGGTCAACAGTATTAAATGTTTGACGATGGGGAATTGGAGTGTCATAATATCTTGGATCAAGTACAATTGGTTCCACAGATGTTGTATTTGTTATATTAAAACAATTTTGGAGCCTCACTGTGTAAATAGTTCTTGTTGCCATGTCCAGTTATACTCTAGCTAAAAATCTGTGAATTTTGACAATAACTTTGTAGTATAGCTTAAATTGCATTTAATGTGTGAGGACAGTTTCATATAGCCCATTTCAACAGTCAGATTGCACCAAAATTCATAGGTACTGCATCTGGCAACTTGACCAGACCAGAATGCCCTCCTATGGAATAACATGAGGTATACAACAACTGAACAGATATGTCATGAAAGTAGCTTGTGTACATCTAACTTGGGTCACTTTTCTAGACAGAGTCCTTTTTGTGTTTTATATTGTTGCCTGGGGCACATAAGTAACTTTTGCCACTGATCTTTATATTCATGGAATCTCACTTGTTACAAGGTACCACACTTTACCTACCAGAACTGGGATAGAACATTGTACAGGTCTCTTTTTGGATGGATCCTGTACCCCAAGTTGATCCATATTCCTTTATTTTTTAAATGCTATTAACTACAAGGGTTGCCCCAGTTTTGGAAATTCTAAATCCTCAGTGTAAATGCATCTTTATGATCTGAATGTATGAACATTTTGCATTAGAAAGAGCTGTTGGATACCTTTTCCAAAAGCAATCAATTTTCAGCAGAATTATACTATTTGTAAAATTCCAAGCAATATTAAAATGTAGTTCTGATACATGCCATCTACTGTGACTTTAGATTGGTTGTTACTTGACTTACTGATTCAAAGTTATTTTAATATAACTTAATCTCTTGTGTAACATAACGTATGGATAATGAGGGATTATTTGGTTCTTAAGGACAGTCATTGCACACCCACCCATTAGAAAAGCAAAAATTTAAATCCACCCTTTACTTTTCAGGTTCACAAGAAGACCAGGGACAGGCTTCCTGCCATAGAATGATCCCATCTCAATTAGTATGTACACACTCCTCACTTTACCATGGAGACATACCTTTCTCTTTGGTGGGCATTTTCTCCAGGTCTTTAGATGACCAAGGTGGACATTTCCAATGGTTATCTACACATTCTTTCAATCATCTTTCCCGACCAGATCTAGTTTATCCCACGTAGTGGTTTCGGCATCCTGCCATTTTCCGGTGGCTCTGTCTGCATTTGGGTATGCCCCATATAGATGCCTTTGCCACTGTTCTCAATCACAAATTACCTCAGGTTTTGGTCTCAGGTCACCCATCCTCGAGCCTTGGCTGTTGATGTCTTCAATCAGGATTGGTCTCATCTGTTCCTTTATGTTTACCCACCCATCCGTTTACTTTATTGGATGGTCTCCCTCATCCATGACACTCCATGCACAGTCCTTCTGATTGCTCCTTACTGGCCTGCTCAACCTCGGTTTCCTCAGTTGCTCCAACTTCAGGTGGTCCTTCCTCTTCCCTTCTGTCCCTACCTGCTCTATTAACTCCAGTCACCAGTGCTTCATCCTGCACTGTCAGTCCTCCGTCTTCACACCTGGCTTTTTCAAGTCCTTGGCAAGGACTTCCAGTTTCTCTCACAGAATAGCTTCACATTTAGCCTGTTCCATTTGGCCATCTATCAATGCAAATGGAGCATTTATCACTCCTGGGCATTGACTTGGGGTTTCCAGGCTTCTCACCCAATGGTTACCTGTATCTCCGAGTTTCTCACATAGCTCTTTGAGAGGGGTTCTTTGGTCTCCTCGATTTCAGGGTTTTGGGCAATGTTATCCCACACGTTCTGTTTTTTCCACTTCTGTAGGGTCTTTTCCTCCCCTGTCCTTTCCATGTTGATTCGATCCTTACGGCTCCATCCACCACAGAGATGTCAGTCATTCCCTGACTGTGTCATTGACGTGGTCGTTCATGCCCTCACTTTACCTCCATTTGAACCTCTGTCTATATGTTCCGTATTTTGAAGGTGCATTTACTTCTCCTCCTGGTCTGCAGGTGTTGTAGGTCAGATATTTTCGCTCTCAATGTTACCAGGACCTTGTACCACTCTTCCTACCTTATCCTTTATTCAGATCGTGCTTTCCTTCCCAAGACTTCTGTGGCTCGATAAGGTAAGTCCTCTTTTTCCTCTATCTGCCTATCCTCTATATCTCACCTCTACCCTCATTCTGATCTGGATAGACTCCTCTCTCTTGTCTGTGCCCTATGCTGTCCTATTGATCACACGACTTCCTTCCAGGGTTCTTGTTTCTGCCTTTTCATCCCTTGATAAACTTCCTCTTCCTGTGATCTTTTCCCAGTTACTTTGACTAATTGGGTTCAACATTGGCCTATTCCTCCTTGTCTCCTTCCCAGCATGATATCTTTCACGTTTCCTCACATTAAATCCGTTATCTTACCTTCTCCCTTGCCTCTCGTCTTCGTCAGCCATTGGAAGATATTCTATGATCGGGCATGTGGATAACTCTGCACACATTCATCTTGGTTGAGAATGTCACTGATCTTATTTGTAGTGAGACTGAGACATATTTAGATCTGTGGCAGGCCTCCTGGGGGCTGTGACCCTGCATTTGAGGGCAATCCTTGACATTTTGGAGAGACTTTAGATTCACATTTTCCTGTGTCTTCTTTTAGTCTGTTGGATTTTCAAACCTCCTGTTGGTCAGTGGTAAGTTTACAGAATAGCAGCACCAGGGTTTGATTCCCTAGGGTGGATATGACAGATGGCCCACAGTTGCTTTTCTCTAAAAAAAAACTTACTTTACCATGGTCTTTAAATGACCTGTGAAAAACAGAAAGGAAGCCACTTTGGGATAAGCTGCCTTTGATTTGTTTTCCTTCTGTTGGTTCTTTGAGTGTGTGATGTTTTGGGCTTTTTCCCAGTTGCTTTTGAGCCTGCAACTTGATGGCTGAAACTGTGGTTCATGCTGGAAGGTTTACTTCTTTGTTACATGAAGGGATAGTTAGGCCTTATCTGACACATTGTTGAAACTTCATGATTTCACCTACCACCACCAAGTAGAGGCATTTTTCTGATTCTCAAATAATATGTACTTGAATTTTGGGGTTCTAAGGCTGAGTTTGTAGCTCGCCTACATGGGACAAAGTAAGTTTACAGACTTACAATTCAACTTCAACATTTTGTATCATTTCACTTCATTTTGTTAGAAGACTCTCAGGATCACAAGCTTCATTTAGGATGAGCTGGATCCATTGTTAGAATGCATGTTGGTTCAATTTTCGGCTTCTGTGTTCTGTGGTTGTTGGAGTCTTGATTTTCATTGGCTCCTACAGGGGGGGGGGGCATAGTTCTGCCCCTGTTCATGAATACCAATCCATGACATCAGTTCCTCAGTCATAGATACTCAGAATAGATTCTGTCTATATCCAAGGTTTCCAAGAGTTTCTGGATGTGTGACAATATTAACCATTGGTCCAGAAGCTCTGCAGGTCTTTGGGGGCACAGTTGGTTGTTCAGTTCACATCTTCTCCACTATTATCCACCCAATGTGTAGGATTTCAATTTCCCACAGTTTATTGGGATTTGGAACTTAGTTCTAGGGTTATCTGAGTCTGGTTGGTCTGGGGGTAGTGAGAGAATTGGGCTAGTTCTTCTGCTAGTTGTTGGGCCTATGAAGACAGGAGATTGGTGTCCAGTCATTGATCTTCCTTGTCTATATCAATGCCTAGATTCTCCAAGGTTCACAAGTTAATCATTCCTCAATATGTGTTTATTTTTTTGTAGATGTCCAGTTTGGTTGTAGTCCGCTCCTATTTACACTTTGCTTTAGTGGTGGAGTCCTACAACTATCAGTGTTTTTGATGCATAAGAGTTCAGTACTGCAGTTCCCATTTTTGTTCTTCTTTCTTGCATAGGCTTTTAACATGGTTGAGTAAGGCATACACAATCCTGTCATTCTGAGCCTGGAGTGTTGCCTTTTGGGCTTCTTCAGGTGGAGGAGAAAGTTTGTCCGCTTCGGTGTTGCTTACTTTCTCTATGGCTACAGGTTGGGATCCCATCAAAAGTATATCTGTGTATAATGTTGCAATCCAATTGCCCTAGCAACCAACGTGGGATATAGGGATTTTTAAAGGAACACCAGATATTTGTACAAAAGGTGTAATGATAACATCATTTGCACAAGAATTATGATGTTTTTTAGCTTATGTAAAATATAGAAGAAACAAATTGACTTGTCAATACCTCTATGACTTTCATAGTACGTTATTTAGTATTTTACAAAAGTTTGGTTACAATATACCAACCCATTTTTATTATAGGCTGGCAATAGAATAATACTAATAAGAAGAAGAATTACAAATGGTCCATTTTGAGTGGATTTTCTTTTCCTTGTAAATTTAATGTGTGCTTTTTTTGTACATTATTATGTGTACAGCCTTAGGCCAAAAAAGTTCTATGTTTCTAGTCATCTGTGCATGTCAATTTGACCCTTGCATATCAAAAGTTTAAAAAACAAACAAAAACTCCCTGTTTCAGTCAATTGAGAATTGCATTTTATTTTTTGAGCTGCATGTAAATATATTTATGACTTTTGAGCATGAAAGTACAATAACTATGTTTTCATTACATTGGCACTCACCCATGCCATTGAGGAGTGAGCACATTTTTCCTAGCTTGTATGGTGCTTCTGCATCAAAAATTATAATGTAGGCACTTTTAACACAAGAAAATGTGGAACAACAAACTCTGAGACTTTTCGGTAATGTGAACATTCCTAACAAATATACATTGAATGACACTTTGAAAATGTTTTGAAAGGCCTACTTGTCAGAAATGACAGTTTCATTCTTGATCATGAGTACATTGACAGTGTAGTGCAAGTGATTGTTTCTGATACAGTGTCAGGCACAACACAAAGTGTACCATTGACATGTAAGGTTATGGATGTCATTCAGTTTGGGAAATTCTTGAGCTTTTCCCTGGATCAACAAGAAGACCCTGGGCCCAGTACTGTCATCAGTGCCTTTGAATTTAGGAAATGGGCACAGAATCTACAAGTGTGACCAACTTTTTGAGACCAATCTCGACCTAATTCAAGATATCGCTTACACAGTTCAGTAGTTACAAGGGTTGAGCCTTGGATGGACTAAAGAAACAAAAACTCTGAGTGAAATTTATGACTTTCATAGGGGACATTATGTTGGAGCTCAATCCTTATTGTGGTACACTGAAATGAAAGCCTTGTGGGCTTTCATCATTCTGGGATCAGTTCCAGGGATTCAACTGGCCAGATCAACATAAACATTTACTCAAAAACTTACGAGAAGACCATCTAAAATTCCGTTCACAAATTGTCTTCAACATTTTAGAGGAGGTATGTATACAATAAAAAAGAAAAAGAGATTTATGTACTTATTTTCTATTATACTAATTATCCCATGCAATCATATTCAGTGCATGAATATACTTTGGTACAGTTTGTCGAATATGATATAGATATTATTTCTCATGAATTTTATGTTTTATGTTATTAGAGTGGCATGACATCAAAGAAGAATTGGAAGGGTTTGCAAAAACTCTTCAGCAGTACTATCAATATCTATCAGGGAAGATAACTGAAACAGCTACAAACCAACTTGAAACTGCAGAGGTAAATGATAAAATTTTAAATTTATAACAATGATACACCTACTAAATAATTTCTTTCCTAATATCAGTATTTCTAATAATAACATTAATAAGACAACAACAACAGCAGCAAAAAATAACAACAACAAATAGTTTAGAATACACATGTGTTGGTAGTAAATATTTATTGCTCTTTTTAATTAATGTCTTGTAGCTTTGAGATGCTACAGAAGCTGTCCACATCATGGAACTACCTTGCTTTATGACAGTCTGAAACCATGTGCGAAAAAATAGATGTGTTTGTTGATTTCCTCTGAAGTAAAGAGGATTTTGAGTTTGTGTGTGAAAATACAGTGTTGCCAGGTGATAAAAGCTTGGTCTACAGCATCATTTGTATACGGACTTCCATTAAGTATCAAGCTTTTCACATAAAGCTCAGGGAATAATTTTGGCAACCTATATTTTCTGTGGAAGGTCAGTTATATTTAAAATTAAAATTGGCATTTATTATATGTACTAGTACATTATTTATTTTCACCTGTATTCTTCAAAATGACAGTGGAAATTGCTGTGTGTGTTTTGTGAAGTATTGTATGTGTGTGTTGTGTAGAGCATTCATCAGATAATTTGCAGTTTTGGTCCACATACTGTTGAATTAAAAAAAGTCATGTCTGTTACCTAAGGAATATTTAGATTATCAAATTAAATTTTTTGTTTAATAAATGTATATATATCATACAAAACACTGGATACCTGGTCATTGTTATCATTTGGAAAGTGATTTCCCAGTATTAATTAGTATACATTGTTTTACATTATAGGTTGGATCCAGCTTGTTCAAAGATGACCAAGAATCTATGGAGGCAGCATTAATCCTCCAAATATGGAAAGAATGCCCAACATATCACACATGACAGATGAGCAAGGAGTTCACTGACTGCTCTGGAGGAAAAGTTGATTGTAATCCTGCTATCCTACAGGAAATGTACTGTCACCTCACTGGAGATGATTCGGCTGCTAGTTGTGAAAGTAGTTTGCAAGTTAACCAGTGCATTCAGTTAATGTTTGATCTAGAAGACCATAATGTAATATTCAACTTAAGGGAGCATAATTTTGAACAGCCTTCTAAATACGATCAGTTTTGGAGGCCACTGAATCATACATATCAAAAGTGTCAGAAATGGCCATTCATGAGCACCTCCACACAGAGGTCATGTACTTAGTGATAGCCACATTAACAGGGCATCTGAAAGAAGATGAGAACAGTGGTGTACCTATTCCCAGTTGTTGCACCTCTATTCTGGCCTAAAGACCCCTCCAGAAAAGCTGCACTCCAGTATACTGGCCATCTGAAAATATAATATCAGATCCAGTTGCAACAGATTCAAAAAGCCCATGAAGATTCACAGTATTGCTCAGCAATATTGCCTGACACAAAAGAAATGGCAATCATGTTCCAGGCAAATGTACTTTTTGTGTCAATTGATGGTAAACACAAAGTGAAAGTGTGGACATTCCACACTCATTAACAGTCTTTCTTCAGAGGCATCGTGTCAGTCACTCTCAAAGACTCAGTATTTCAACTGAGTTCTCCAAAGTGGCACGTGGTAGAGTTGAATAAAGTCATTTATCTCATTGAACACAGTTCCATAGAAATTATCATGATCTACACTGATGGGGGACCAGATCACTGCACAAACTATATGTCTGTACTGTTAAGCTTGATCACATTGTTCATTTCTAGGGACTATTATGCTGTCATTACTGGATGCACTCCACATGCTCATTCATGGAAAAACATGGCAGATTTTATTATGTGGATATTAAAGCTCATCTTGCAAGCGGTCAGTGTCATGAGTGCCCCTATGACACTAGAAATGGAACAGGCTGTAACAGTATGACTGATGTTTGCAAAAAAAGCAGCTTAACTACCCTCTCTTAAAGAGCAGATAACAGTCTTCAGTCCCATATTGGTCTGATAGACACTATTCTCTAAACTTCACTTCAAGGATACCGCCTTTTCATATCTCAATGGCCACATCAAAAGAAGAATTGATGCTTTTCAGAGCAGTATATAGAAAAGTGATCCAGATCTCACTTTGACTGTGTCAAGACAACAAGCAATGAAGAGTTCATTATTTAAGGATTTCTTTGACAGTCACTGCATCAGTCAAAGCTATTTCTTCTCTTGTGTCAAATGTCATAATGCTCAGTGCAAATTCCATGGTCCTCCACGTATGCCAGCTGACAAATCTCTGACGCTTCATCATCTACCAGACCTGATGTTACAAGATGATGGACTTCACTACTGGCCTTTTCAAACAGTCTATGGTACACAGACCTCTGATAGAGAGAAGCCCAGTTCAAAGCAAAGAAACAAGTCTGATGGCTATGGGACTACCTTTCAATCCCAGTGTCCAAACAGTGTGGCACGTCAAAGCCACAGTGACACACACTGAGTGTGAAAAACCCAGAGTGATTTATGCTGCTAAGAAGCTCAAATTTGAAGAACAACAGAAGCTAGAGTCTACCTCAGAAGATCTCTATTTTTGTGTGAGGAACAAACCTTGATGAACACATACGAAAAGATGACGAGCAATACATTTTGCAAAATGTGTATGTTCAACGTGATCTAACATGTTCAACTACGATTGAAGTACTGTATTACTCAGCAGAGTGTTTTGAGATGAGTTGCATCCATTGTGGCTCAGGGTGGGAACTTTTCACTGGAGAAGAATTCAGAGATATATTTCCAACATATCAGCATTGTGTGGCAAGAAGAGAGCTGTGTGTGTAGTATGTGAAAAAAATGACCTCATGATGGTGAATTGCCATGAGCATGATGGGCAACTAATGAACTCTTAGACATAATAGAAAATTTATGACAATTTGTTTTTAGTCTAATCCACATTTTTAATTTATATTACATTTGTTTTCACACTTGGCATTTGTTGTTTTCTGTTTGGATTGTCAGTGTATAACCAATTAGCAATGGTACATGTAGTTTTGTTTCTTTTGTCATTCATTTTCATGTGGATTTGTGATTTGTGATTTTTTTACTTTTTATTTCTCAAAGTAATTTTGAAATTAATTTCTGAATAAACCATTGTACAATATCTTCAACCAATTTGTAAACCAGGTCCAATATGGAATAGTTAAATATATGACAGGCAAATGAGTGCGTTTTAATATAAAGCCTGTTTACTCTACAGCCTTTCAGCTCCTGGATTTACATCGACTTTGAATGACAATGAAATTTCATTTTAGAGGTAGTGCATATGTAATAGATGGTGCTATTAAAACACAATACTCTTTCGTGACAGGAAGTTATGACTTTTTGCTTTGATTTAACTACATTTTGAATGAGCTGCATCTCATGAATTAGTCATGAACATAGTTACTATATTATATTGTTTTAGGAGTTTAAGAATGATGTATTTTCAAGTTGACTGTATTTCAGTGATATTAATGTAATGAACTTGTAGAGTGATATTGTTTTGTGAAATTGCATGATAAAGTGTGTTTTTTATTCATCATGTTTACTGACTTGTATGTTCTAGTCACCAAAGTGATAAATCATAAGTCAGTTGTTGTAGCTTGAAGTACAAGTTTTTGTTGTACTAGTCATTTTTGTTTAAATAAATAAATATCTGCATTTGTTGTTTCTTTGAAAACAAATTCTGCAAAATGCATCGTTGGCAATGTATATGACAAATATAGTGTGGTTGTTATACACTCTTCTATTTCTTGAAAATCTCCAAGGGACTAGATTCAGTATGTAGTGTTAAAAATATAAAAAGCCTAACATAATGTTTTATGACAAGTGTAATTAAAAGATTTGTTTACTTATTAGTCATTTGTTGCAACAATATTATGTACATATTATCATACTTATTATTATAAAACAATTCAGTATTGTAATTAATTGTTATGTGATATTAGTATTTCAACCACACTATATGCATAATACCATTCCTAGTTTGCCCCTGAAGAAGAAAGGTCCACCTTTTGAAAGCTCTCAGGTCATAGTATATTTTTCTGATATCATGAATACAATGTTAACATGTTTTGCTCAACACCAAGCTGGGATACAAAGAACATAGAATTAGTTGGAATATTACTTATATAAGGCATTTGTCACAACAACAATTGCTGTAGTGTGAATGTCTGTTACAAGCTGGCCAAACATGATTCTTATTCTATTATACTTGACATAAAACATTAGTATTAAGCCTATTATATATTTAACACTATATTCTTAATCTAGTTCCTCAGAGATTTTCAAGAACTGGAAGAGTGTTTATTTAACATTTAGTACTTCAAACACACGATATTCATTGCTCATGACAATAAAGTCAGTTTTCAAAAGAAAGAAAACACATATCATGTATAAGGCTATTGCCAAGATTCTAGTGTACATGTACCTGAACCATTTTGAGATCACTAAATGATGACTTTGAATTATTCTTTAATATAACTTGATATATTGTTTATTTATATGTAAGATCACATTGATATGAATATGTCTTGTCCCTCCCAAACTTCTTCAACACAAACAGTAGTGTCAATTTTAATAAAAATGTTCTTACCTTTATCTATTTCAGATTGAAGACTTCACATACAAGGTTGACAAGAATTACAGCATGAGATCAGGACTAAATTAATTGTATTAAATGTGGTTATTATTAGTAGCTAAAAATGCATCTTGAAGTGATATGCTGTTCGAAGTAAATACTGACAGAAGAAGAGGACTTTGTTTTTTTAACTTCAATCAGATGGTCCTCACAATCAGACAGCTGCGGGTTAATAGATTGTCTGGATTTATTGTACTAATCCTGGTAGTAATGATGCTTTTTGTGACTAAGACAGCTGTTGAACAATACCAACAAGTTCGTAAATATTTTCGGCTTCAAGAATATTCATCACAAGTTCAAGATATTTCAGACTCCCTTCGTAATCTTGAAGAAAATGCGGTTGCTCTTGAAGATGAAATAGTGCCATTGAAGAAGCTCATTTATGATACTTTGAGACAGTTCAATAAGACAAAGTTATCAGGTGGCTAGTATTTCAAAGAAAATGCAGTTGTATATGTAATTCCCTTTTTTTTTACTCAAATGTTGTCTTCCATTACTGATCTAATTAAACATTTTTCAGAAACAAAATATAAATCATGGACATGCACAGTATTTAAATATAGAATTTTAAAAATACCTGATGTTTTAAGCATAATCAGCTTTATTTATCAATCATTACTACATTTATTAGCTTTTAAATCCTATGAAATACATTTAGGAATAAAACTTTGTATTTTGTAATATTACTTTTGACCACCTTTGGCATTCCATGGTTGCAACAAATATATCATGCTTCATGACTGTTGAAATAAGTTGGAGTTCAAAATATTTCAAACTGTTCTTATCAAGTTGCAGTAATGTAAAGATTAAAAGCAAAGTGTCTTTCATTCTGAATATGTACTGTGTGCAACATGGTAAGAGAAATTTTAATGTTCAGTTATTTTTGCAGCATTAATTTTTGTTTTCTGTATTTACCTATTTTGTTAATATGTCAAGTAACAGAAATATTAAGTTAGCTTTTGAATTCTAACAGTCTTCTTTATTCGTTTTTCTAGATTTACATTGTATTTTGTTTGAATAATGGTTTAGTATAGGCCAGTTAATGTTTCGTTCTCATTGTTCATGTCCGAAAGAGATTCTTTTAAAAGCTATTGCCAAGTATACTCATATTTTTTATGTGATGCTCATCTGTTGCATTTTCAAAGAGTACTGTAATATGTTCAGTATTCGTTATGACATCAATATACAGTTAATTTGTAAATTTGCTAAAGCATATTAAAATGTTTCACTTTTTGCTAATTAAATAGCTTAAGGTGAAAAGTAAACAGAGTGGGTTCACTTAGTGTGTTCAAATGTAAATTTTCAACACTGGAATTTTTTTGAATTTGAGATAATCCAAATATTACAAATGTGTAGATTACACCATTAATTATGTACAAATTATTAATAGGAGTAATGATGTAAAAGTTTTTTTTTGCTTTTAATTTTGAGCATGGAAGCAATAAGATGACCTTGATGCCTTTATACTAAAAGTATGCAGTTAAACCACATGATATATAATAGTTATTATGACCTGAATGATTTGAGCATAACAGTTACTTATAGGGCATAGGGTAAATTAGATTTAATGACCTTTCATGTAATATTTAGAATATTTTCAGTGTTTTTGTTTTAAATTCAATTTTTTTAAAGCATACTAGTTTGTACTTTTTGTATCAACATTACCATATTGCTATTACCTGAAGATCTTGTGCCAGTATAGATTAAGCAAACATTTTTAAAATCATCTGCATTTTGTTGTTTATGGTATTTGTGATTAATTAATCAGACTTTCTTAAATTAGAAAGTGAATTGATTATTTTGGTCATTTGACTTATTAAGCTTTCTAAAATATAAAAATTGATGTAGTTTTATTACTGTAGATAATACTGTGCAATTACTATCCTACTGGAGATTAATTTTTCAGGGAAAAAATGATGTAATTGAGAAAAAGCTTAAAGAAACTTTCAAATGTATGAATGTGGGGGCTGCATTCTCAGTTTTCTGGACAAGAAATAGCTGTACTCATTATTTTTAATTAAATATTGTGAATGTGAAGATAGGCTGAGTATCAGATTTTGTAATTACTAATTTACTGTATTTTACTAGAATGTATACACTAATTAAGTCTTACTAATTCTGAAAAATATGTATTTTTTATTAATCACATACTGCTTAAAACAACCTGAAGTCATATATACTCAATTTAGCACCTGCTTTTGTTCATCCATTTAATATAAAATCATTAGATGTGGAAATATTCGTTACAAAATCATTATTTTGTGTTAGTTTTGAAGATAATCCTTATAAGTATGTTTATTGTAATGTTTACCATTAAGAGTCAACATTCAGTGCAAGCACAAAGAGTACAACTGTTTATAATATTCTTTAAAGAGAAAATGTCATTCATTTGAGGCCTTATGGGAATTCCCTTGTATGTTGATACATTCTTTTGGGGTCAGTAACCATTCCATGAAAAAAAGTCAGGTGCTGAAGAATGAGGCATTGAACAAATTTAATTGCTTCAGTGGTTTTAAAATAAGTTCATTATCATCTAATTCATTATCAAAAGATGATAAATCTTTATTGCCTTCCACAGAGCTTAAGCAAAAAAACATTTGATTTCTTTTGTATGCCTAAGGAGGAAAACAGTTTTTTATCTCACACTTTTTCACCATGATTATGTGCATGCATAAAATAAATTGTTTTTACCATTTAATATTTACTTTACAAATTAAAAGTTCCTTATGTTGATAATATAAATATACAGCACACCTAAGATATATAGTTTCAATCAGTAATAGACATTTTCATTTACTACACACAAATGGAATAATTAGATCATTATTACTTACATAAAAATTCCTTTAACATTTGTTTTTTATTAAATTGTAAATAACACTTCTTTATCATTGACTAGATTCTTAGAGTGAATAAATTCTTAAATTGAAAGTAGTTTTTTACATCTATCATATAACCAGTGAGTAGAGTTCTGTTGTGCTTATTGCATATGAAAGGTTACTGAATACCATGTTTACTTATAGTAAATAATTGTTTATCATCTATCACATACTGCATACATAAAAACTAAATAGCTCTTTTTATCTACTGCAGTGTTTCTCAACTTTTTGCACTCTTTCAAGTAGGGCATTCACAGTTGTACCAGCTCATGATAGTCCATAGCTGCATATCACAGCCCATAAGTTGAGAATCATAAATTTACACAAGTAAAGAGTAAATATAGTTCTGTATCATCACTTGTTCTTGATGATTTATTGTGCAGAAAGTTAAATGTTATTTTTCATGTTTTGTTAGATTAAGATTAAGTAGTTATTTACACATAATAAATCCTTAATATTCAGTTATACGTACAGCAGATAAGATGCATCGACATACGTGTGTTTTTTGTGAAGTATTTTGAAGCATTGATTTAGCTTTAAATGTGATATGATTCTATATTGTTTCTAAATGCTGTAAAATTAGACTGCTTAAAAATGAAATCATGTTATCACTCAAAATATAATTTGTTTGTCACAGGTACTAAATGTAAATGTCATAGTATATTTAAGCTACCAAACTATTCAATTAGGAATCCATAAGATCTATTTAAATCTTTTATAAACTGAAGTATTTGACATGTACCGTATGCCAGTTTTTTCTGCCATAATCATGAGGTTTTCAACCACCTTATACCAGTAAAACAAAGAAATGTATATATGTTATAATGGTGTATATAACAGCATAAGAAACTAAATTAAGTATTCCAGAGCAGGTGAAATAAGTATTTAACTATCAACAGAATACAGTATCTTGCAGAACAGGTGTATATATATTGGTACCAAATAAGAAGAGTTCTATGAGAATTGTGATTTGTCTGTGATGATATTCTATTTTGGGAGCAAACTAGAGTTTGAACTGAAGATATAACTAAACATACACATGTGTACTAGTTCGCTGTACATAATGTATTGTTGGAAGCCAAAATGATATTTTTGAAATTGTTAACCTGTGTATTAAAATCCAAAATATGTAAAGAATAATTGTCGGTGGTATAGTAAGATAACTTGAAGTTAATGTTTGTGATGTAAAGTCTGAATATGAGAATTTGTTCAGCAGTGGAAAAGTTTTTTAATGAGTATTTGTACTTTGAGTTACTTAAAAAAAAGCATTTCCTTTCATCTGATTAAGGTAATGGTAATATTTTATGTGGTAAAAGGTAATGTTTTATGGCAATTTTGATGCTCATTTTGGAGGTAAACTAAGAAGTGATATTTCTATTAGCAATGATAACATAAACTGCATTTCTTAGATTAACTTCTTGCCCTCTGTTGGTTTTGAGATGTTGTGAAAATGCTCTGTTTATATTGGATTCATTGTTTTTGACTTGAGTTTGTATTTTTAATAATAGGATATTAGCTAAGTTTCATGATATGCTATCTTACAAGCAAAGTATTTTGTAGCACTCAGTAATATGAGTTTGGTGATTTTCAATTTTTAGTTTGTGTTCCACAAACAACTGATTATGATAGCAGTAAATTATAAAACTTATTGAAGTTTGCAATGACTTCAGCAACTTTTGTTTATATATTTTTTCATGAATTAAATAACATTTTTCAAAATCCAACAAAAATGTTTAAATATGCACATATTTAACAAGGAAAATTATTTTATGCGGTTTCATAAAATAGTTATTATGTGTAAATCCCGGAACAGGTGACAAAACTTGTGGTAAGTAGATAAGAAAATTCTCTTGAAGTTCAATGTATTTATTGTTTTATTAATTTATATATAGAAAATTGGGTTTTAAGTAGATAGACATTATGGTCTGAAAATATCTTAAAGAATGTGATAAAGAAATTGTGTCTAACTATATATGTAGCTGAATGGGAATTTAACCTGTATTAGGATTTGATGGTAAAGTATTTCACCTGGTATTAGGATAAATCATAACAGGTTATACTTCATCAATTGTTACAGTTGGTTTGAACCAGAATTGTCTTTAGTCTTGTTTGTGGAGAAATAACAAGAAGTGAAAAGTTCCATTTATCAGTGTATATGTTTGGATTGGATTGCCTAGTTTTGAATTGATATTGTATCAGTATTTTTTGTGATGAAAATTATATATCAGTAGTTGTAGGAATTAAAGTGATTTTTACTAAACTATTTTTATACACTAACAAAAATGTTATTGATGTTTGTTTTTTGTATATCATAGTAACAAATATTGGTAAGTTTGGTTTGTACATGTTGGCTATACCATTCAATAAAAGTCTGATGAAATCTTAGCCTTAAAAGAATTGTCACTAAATAAAAACATCCATGTTACATGCTCTGATAAAGGCAATGCCATTGTTATTCTGAACAAAAATGACTACCTTAATAAAAAGTCTGTTTATGTTTCATGTTATTTTTTAGAAGCTGAAGAGATAATATTGATGACATGCGAGTAGTGGGTCTTCTGTATTAAGGAGTGTGTGAATTAAAAAAGAAATCATTAACAAATGCAAGATGTAAGAAACATTTATACAGATAATGTTTGCAATAGTCGTTGCCCGTGCAGTTTGAAAGAGAAGTAATTCATGTAGTAAATCATGTCCCAGCTGTTACTTCAAAGTAAATAACTCAGTGTATCCTAAAATAAGTATTTCAGTATTTACAAAACAACATAAGTAACATTTTAATGTTCTAATCAATGACACTTTTTTCTTTCTTGTGTGGCTTTGTAGAGTAAGATTCAAAACCTATAGACTCGTTAAGAAATAGGTATTTTTAAACTCATACTGTGAGTGTAAAATGTGAAATTATACAATTTTGTGATGTTTACAACACACATTTATTAAACTAAAGTTTTTGGCTACCTAGCCTTTTACGGGTAGTATCTGTGAAATGATTGTTCCTTACGGTTTCTTCTGGAATCTAGTTTTTATTTAGTAAAGCTAGTGGTTTCAGAACAATCTGCCACAGGTTAGAAATATTCAACCCAGTTGAATTTTTCTCATACCCTCTCAATATTAAAATGTCTAGCTTTTCAATGAGTCTAAAGAACTTGACGTAATTCTACACGGAACAATCCTGGCAGCACCAGTTATAACTTTTGGGATATTTTCCTGTTTCACTGTATTAATTTCTTTAACCTCATCATAATATATGTATTCCGTAGACTACTTCAACTTATCACTATCTTGTAAAAGCACTTATTGAAATTTACTTTGCTTATTCCATGTTAACTGATATGCCACTCTTGACACTCACAGTTCTCACAGCTGTCTCTACTACAGAACCCACTTGACAGTTGGATTACCTATAGTGAAACCAATTATTATACCCAGAACATAGTACCGTAGATCTTTTTACAACCATTTGCTGTCTGGATTTTAGGCTTCTGAAAATTTATGAGACAATGCTGAATGATTAATTCAAAAGTTAAATGTTTAGAAATGATGTGTGGTCTTCTAGGACAATACTTAATAGCTTTGCACATGTATTGCAGTATCTTATTTATAGTTGACCCAAGAATTTGTTTATGTTATTAGTTACATCTTTTGTCATCATTGTTGTGATTACACAACTCTAGGTAAAGTAACTAGAACCCAAGTTTAAGATCAGTGGATATTGAGGAACTGAGAGTAACCAAGAAATCTTGTAGGAGAATGGAATATGCCAGAAAATGATGTCACAAAAGATGCCAATCCAAACATATCTGTGAATCCTCCGACTTCACATTTACTTCTTTGTGTTAGTTTTTTCATCCCTTTGACATGTACCTATATTGATTTGTGGATGCTTTCCATTGAAAAAATATCCAAAAAATATATATATTATAATGAAGCAGTTCCTTTTTTCTGTTAAGTGTTTAGAATTTCCTGTTTTAGCCTTCTGAACACTTTTTATAGACACCACAAAAAGTTTTTCTAATAGTTATAATGTCATGAACGTTAAGGTGATATGCTTTCATAAACTAGCTAGAAAATTCGTGAAGATAAGGTAGATTATGCATATTTTTACCAATTTATTATCTGCTATAAATATTATCCATCAGTTTTATCTTCTTCAAGTAGCAGTGAATATCCACTTTTCATGTAGAAGGTTGAAAGACCAAGTGGAGTACATAAAAATCAAGAGTGGATTCAGTCTTTATTAAAGGGTAGGCATCTTTTTCCTTTAAGACATCATTCACTTTCCAGTAGTCCCTGAAAGTTGGATTTATCAGTATTTTCCATGTTAACACAAAGTGAATTATTTGGGTCTATTAGACCCTTGACATCTCATAGTTTGTGCCATCTTGATGTCCAAAGAAAATGGTATCTGATTTTCCCTATCCGTTTGCATTTAGTCATGAGAAAAATATGCTGTTTAAGGTCATGACTAAATCAAGGTAGAACTACATTCATGGAAGTTGTCAACTTGTCATGGAAAATCCACCAAGATTATTAATTATTAAAAAAGACAACCTGGAGTAAATATCCAAAATGATAGAATATTTTGGATATTGAAGAATCCATAAATATACTAAAAGGATTTATTAGGTAAATTAAGCATATGATATTTCATAAAAGTCACTGCAAGATGCTGTAAGCAGCACAGTTCCCCAAAAAATTATTATCCAAGTCAGACAACTGGGTGGAAATTGTCATTGATGAGACCAGTAAGAACTACATTTTTAGCAGCAAAAATAGGCAAAATTATCAGAGGAGTTTATTACATCATTGATGGTATTCTCAGGTGCACTAGTTCCTTGCAGGTCAGAGTAATACTCATTGAAACTAAAGGTTTGACAGAAAAAGTTGAACTGAATTCTGATCTGATTAAGTTGAGGAAAGAGACTGCCCATAAGTTTCACAATATAATAAAAACAGCTACTTACTGAAGTTTAGTCAGAAGATGGGTTCACAAAGCAAAGGGAGATTATTGCACTTTTCTGTGGAAAGAGATTTTGATTAAAGAAAATTGGATAAACTAATCAAAATATAATTCTTTGAGTAGGGTCAAATCTTATAAAAGTGAATTTGTTGTCTATTAGCAAAAACAGGGAAGAGCAAGTATTTCTAAACATTTACAAGAAAATTGATGTTGATACTGTGTGACTAGTACAAGAAAAAGGTTACTACATTCTGAAGCTGGTTATCTGCACACTATATACTCAACATGTGTTGGAAGGATTAAGTGCAAAAAATGTTGAAAACTTTGGTGAACAATAAATGTTATTTTTCTAAACTAAAGGAAAAAACACACCTGGTGTTTTACATTTCGTATTTCTTCAAGTGGCCCAGCATGGCCAGGTGGTTAAGGCTCTAGCTCGCAATCTGAGGGTCGTGGGTTTGAATCTCCATCCCACCAAATGTGCCCATCCTTTCAGTTGTGGGAGTATTATAGTGTAATAGTCAATCCCACTATTCATTGGTAGAAGAGTTGTCGGTGGGTGGTGATAACTAGCTGCCTTCCCTCTAGTCTTTCACAGCTAAATTAGGGATGACTTGCACAGATAGCCCTCATATAGCTTTGCATGAAATTCAAAACAATCCAACCCAAATTACCATCAAGCCAACCCTACATGAAAATTTTAAAACCATTGAATTAATTTTTAGAAAAATAACTAGTGGTACAAAACACATTTTAGGGTAAATGGATAGACATGCAAATACCTTTGAGTAATACAGGATTGAGTATGTTATTTTAATACTTTTTTGAATGTTAATCAGTAATTCAAGTGACAAGCATGGCTGATATAAGGTTATGGAACAGACTGTATCAGAACTCTACAATTTCACATTGTTTATGATCTCGTAGGCTGCGTGATGCCACCAAAAAATGTTTTTTTCGAAGAGTATGTAGCAAGTCTGTCCAATGCAAAATATTCATACCTTGATATCATAAAGATGTGTTCATTGATTTAGAATTTTGAGGAGAGGAGGGGATTTCTACTTATTATATTTGAAAATGGAGGAATATTGATCAACTTGAGGAATCAGGATCATCAAGGAAGAGAACTGCAAGAAATCATACACCAGGCATGGTGTATTATCTTGTATTAGGTGACAACCCATGAACACAAAGGCCAGTGACAAAAGCATGCCCCAGGCAATAGTACACCGCATAATCAATAAGGATTTCTTTTTGCAAGTCAAACACTAGTCACATGTACACAAGTTTCTTCCATAGCATATATATCAACTGCTGCATACCTCAAGTAGCTGGAGAATAAAATGGATATTTGTGCTTTTCTATATGAAAAAATACCATTAAAATCAACAAATGAAATGCCTATTGATTTTTGTGTTAACAAACTTGAAACAAACACTATGAAACTATCATCATTCATCAGCTGGATTATGGAAAGCGTATAGAGAGGAGAGGTGCACGATGACCATAACAATATTTTGATGGAGCCTTTTGCAATGGAAACTCTATTGCAGGACTGTTGTCAAGATGTATAGTCGTTAGATAGGGTGTGACTGGATGAGGCAATATGGACTGTAGCAAGTGATGAGGCCCCAAATCCTTTTAAAGCACCATATTTAACATCTGTGATAAAGCAGTATTTTACATACAAAGTATGAGGTGAGTATAAAGAAAAGTATGCCATTAAGCACATCATATCTCACAAATGGCACGGTATAAGAAGGTGAAATTGCAACGGGGTATTAAGGGTATAATGCAAATGCCACAGTTCTCTCATGTTGCCACTAGGTGCTACTATGATCTAATAAATGATCAATCACAGAAACTGTTCAAAATATGGTCTTCCAGCATCCAGAATTCATTGTATAGTGTTACGACAGCGGAATTCACGTGACGCTGGTAACACGTAATGAGTATCTAGAAGGTTCGGGGAACATCACGAATAATCCAGTATTTGCTAGATGTCCTCTATTCCTGTATATAAGCGCGCCAGATAAAGTGAGACAATTAATCGGAACTGGAATAGCACACAGAGAGAATTGCAGATAGAGAGATAGAGACAGGTAATTGAATCAAGTGAGCGGTAGTGACCGTGGAAATTTTGTGTATTGAAAAGTTGTTTTGAGAAAGAATAAACTAGTTTTATTTAAGAAAGGACTTGTATTGCTGAAGTTTCTCGGAAAGAATTTCTATGGAAAACTAACAAACGAACAGAGACATAACAATACATTTGACAATAAACATTACAGCAACAACACACATCTCATCTGGAATGTTGGACAATTGCATCCTTGAGATCTGGTATTGTGCAAGGCTTTCCATGGTATACGTGTGATTTCATGTACTTCCACAACCAGAAATCAGCTGGTGTTATGTAGGTCTGGTA